ACTTTCATACTCGATTGATGGCTACAAAACACCCGAAGATACCCCAAGCGCTTGCTACGGTCAGCCCAAATTCGTCAAAGGCAGAATGCCAGGATCTATCTGTGTCGGCAAGGACAACGGCACGACGTCGATTCACAGCGACAGCAGCTCGAGAAGCAGATGCATCAACTGAAGCCTCGGCACCTGCACCGTCATCCTGATAGGCTTCCACCCGCCGACGCTTGCTGCCGCCTGCTCCGCCAGCTCCAGTACGATTCGCGGACTCGTGCACGGCAGCAGCAGCACTCAACAGAGACTGGTCCGCTGCAAGATTTCTGCTACCCACCCTCATCGTTCTCCGTTGCTCATGCCTCTCACGCCGCTCGTTCTCCTCCTGCGGCGTTAGTCTGCCTCTTCGTCCCATGGCGTAACAATAAGGATCAAATCGCTACTTCTTTGTTAGTCGATCTCAGAGACATATCTCTATATGCCGGAATGAGAAAATGCATGTGGAAAACCCCTCTCTCTTCAGATTGAGCTGTAAACCTGAACCCTATCAGCATTCAGGCGCAAGAAATCTGTTCACGCTCACTTCAATGAAGATGCCGAAGATATAAATGCATCATAATTCAAACGCATCTCCGATGAGTAGCAATGATATAGTGACATCATTCTCATGCTTGAGTATAGTTGAGTTTCATGGGATATAGTCTATAGATGTTTATAGCGTATCTGATGTATCTGGTTGGTCCTTGAGGCCCCATCTGCAAAAATAGACGCAAAAATCAGTTGAGACCTTTCCCCAAAAAAACAAGCAACTGGTCCGTTGGTACATCAACAAATGCGACATCACCATGCATCGGTTGGCTCAAACATAATGGGGAAAATTATGTTCTCAATGATGAGATGGTTCCTGGGTTCCAAATTTCTGAGGAGCAGCCCTTATTTAAAACCCAGTGTCGTTCATGTTTACAATGAGCATCTCACTCCCCGGCCCGAATTGTTGGCTCCTGCTCTTCCTGCATCCTTGAGAAACCAGCGTGTTGCCGTCGATAGTTGCAGATGCCCTCTGGTAAACCAACATAACTATGGCAAATCAGCATTTTTAATGGGAAAACTCACTATAAATGGCCATGTTCAACAGCTATGTTATTTTACCAGAGGGTACTTCCCTGGGGTGATGGACACAACCTTTCTAGGCCCAAAATCCAACTTCCACTCAGACAAACCTCCTGTTGATCCCCAATGGCTACAATCCAATCAAGACCACAAATTCAGTGCTGGTGAGATGGGAAATGTGAATGTATGCTTTTGCTTGTTAAAACATCTTGAAACCCAAGTTGTTGCTTGTTAATATATGCTTTCCGGTTAGCTAAACTTAAAACCAAGTTTATTTCTGGTGCGAGCATGTCCACATCATTTAAAGGCATTGAACTTCATTGTTCTGCTGTGTGAAAAAGGCTATATCATCATGATTCATCATAATATATATATATATATATGATGTCAAATCTTAAGTCTTAGCATGTCTTGTCTATGAAATCATATGAGGGTTTCCTAAAATGGGGGGTACCCCATTCATCATCTATTTTAATAATTTTGAATAGGCTTTTTCATTATAAACCATCCATTTGGGGATACCCCAATATTTATGGAAACCATCTGAAATCCCCCATGTTTCGCTGAAGTCGCCATGTTTAAAAAAAGCCTCAGAGGTGAGAAGATCCAGGAGGCCCAGCGTGCCACGACTCTGAACCATCCTCGGGCTTTTATGGGGATTTTTTCACCGTGAAACATGGGGATTGACCACCAAACTATGGAGGATATAGCCATATTGCAGGATGGCCATCAATCCACAGGAAGTCATATGCCCATGAGGATTCCCATCATGGGATGGATGACCATCACTGGTTGGTGGTTTTTCGCCTACCCCTCTGGAAAAAAAAACTATGAGTCAGTTGGGATGATGACATTCCCAACTGAATGGAACGTCATAAAGTTCCATGGTTCCAAAGCACCATCCAGTGGAGATTCGTCGGACATGGAGAAATATCATTGGATAGCTAGTCGGACTGTGAGATTCTGGATTCCTGGATGTTCAAGAAGGGGATTCCCAATTCATCTGGGTAAATTATACTATTTCACTAACCTGAATTAAGGCGGCCATTTGGGGATGAATTCCCGAATCCTAACCATGATTCCCAGTGACGGAGAACAGTGAGGTCGTTATAATTTACCCAGATTCATTGATGATACCCTCTGGTAATTTAACATAGCTATTGAAAATGACCATTTATAGTGGATTTTGCCATTGAAAATGCTGATTTGCCATAGTTATGTTGGTTTACCAGAGGGTACCCAATATATAAAGGGAAGTTTTCACCCCCTACGACCAATCCACGGGGGTTTTGCTCCATAGTTTTTGGCCCGAAAACATATCAGGGGTGACGCCAAATCTGGCGGGATTCAAGCATGCAAACTTGGGGATTGAATCAGGTACTTCAGAAAATCGTGTTTTTTGTTAGCTTACAGTCGCATTTTCGCTGTTTAAGAATTGCTAGGTTTTAAGAAGATATTGCACCTTGTTCTTGACAAACTGCTTGGTCGCTACAAAAAAATCGGATTCTCGTGGCTCAAATGCTCAGTACGTTTTGGGTCAAACGTGTTGTTCGAATGTGTTCAATGAACAAAAACATGGTTCAACCATCTATGTTTTTGGGTCAATGATTTTGAGCTCATGGAGCAACAGTCACAACATGTGAGTACAATATCCAGGCCCACGACCCCTGAGGACTGGAAAAAAAATGCCGGGTATACCCTCACTATTTCCACTTACTAGTCATTGATTGAACATAACAACTCCTGACCCAATGTTTTCCCTCATACTCAAAAGCAAAATGTTTGGGTACCTACAGGAAAGCGCGAAACTCATGCCTAAGTCACGCCTGTGTGCTGAAAATCTGCTTTCCCCCATCTAAATGCAATTTCCAGGAAGTCATGCCTATTTCATGCCCGCAACCCAAATCACCATCTAAATGCAGCGGAAACCTTTGCTTCATTTTGATTAACTGATACCAGTAGTACTGCACAAGGCGGTGGCGGAAGTTTCAAAAATAGTAGCCCTCAACCATGCACCACTTACAGCTACATGATTCCTCTTGTGTTTGCGATGTTTCATAGTTTATAGTTTATATGATATTAATTCAATTTATGTTCTAAAAAAAGTGAACATATTTGGAGGTCAGCTTGGGACAAAACAACTGATTGTGAGCCAGTGGGAAGTGGGAGGGTAACCCCTTGATAAAACAATCTACATCAATTTACTTGGATGAAGGGTTACAAAGAACTCTGTCGCGTTGACACCTACGGCACCGTATTTGGGGGTGCTTCTTCGCATCCAAGACAACCAACATCAAAGTGATGCAACCTATAATGACGGTGTTCCAATGTTCCTGTAGACCCTCCATGTACCCAAACAAAACAGGTAGGTATCCTCCCCAAAGCTATGGCTTGTTGCATTTTGTCCCCTCCAGAAAGGTAATCCTTTGCACATCTTTACACAAAGCATGTGTTATGGAGCATCCCGACCTCAACCAAATTTCTATGGGCTTCCTCTCAGGGTCCATTTGTCAATGGGAATTCCAGGAGCCTAAAATGGAGGTACTGTACCATATAAGGCCATATTTTGTGGGGATATTCCCTCACATAGGCCTTACATAGGCCTTATATATGGTAGGTACCTCCAATCAATCGGTTCCTGAAATGGCCATTGAGTTTGCAGCTGCCCATGTTTTTCCCAGCGACGGACCGATATTGCTGATCATCGGCTTTTCTCTGATGGGACCGCTGGCGGACCTCGACGGGTCAGAAGGAGCCACGACCTTAACAAGGCCTTATTTCTTGGGGTACCTGTGATGGGAAAACAAATCATTGATCCAAAAAATACCAGCTTGATGGTACCACATCTTTGAGCCGAACAAGTGAAAAAACACACAATTTTCTCCGATTTGTCAATGATTCAATGCCGTTGACCGTTGGCCAAATCTCCGTGCATTGTTGATTTTATACATCCCTGTTGATTGATGCAGTAATTCCTCCCCGTCATTGATTAAACATTCCCATTGATCTCTTGGTTCAATCCGCATCCATTTCATGGACAGCCATCAATCCTTCCAAGAATTGGTTTATTGGAAAATTGACAGGAAACCCCAATCAATTTGCGGGTATAGAGTGTAAAAAATGACAAAGCACCTTATTTTCATGCACTTTCTCCCCACAAACCCAATTCATTGGAGGTTCATCCCGCTTTAAGTCAGATGTCAGTGGTGGTTGCACACATGGATGAACTAACTACCCTCCCATAATAAGAGTTGGCTTGCTAGAAAATCCACGAATTGTAGCTGATGTTTCCATTCAAAACCTCCAAATTCCATGGGATTTCCCTCAATGTCCCATCTTCTCCTACAGGATGGTGACCCTCAGTTATAAGTTGGTTTAGAACCCCCATGAACTGTAGTTATATCTACCATTGACATCCATAAAACGTATAGTTAAACCACTTCTATCACAGTTTCACAGCCTATCTTGGGGTTTGCCTCTGATTTTTCCCCTGAAAAGCGCCATGTTCGCCGGGTGGCTGGTCCTCTTCCAGGTCCCCCCAGAGATCCTCCTCGCTGGCGCGCAGCTCGACCTGCGACTTCCTCGGGGAGCTCTGCAGGTGCTCCTCCGAGGCCCCCCCGCCCGGTCCCGCGAGGTCAGGTGCACCACTGGGTTTTGCTATGGCATTTCAGATATGACTTATATATAAACTACATATCACCATTTGTATATATATATATAAATAACCATAAAAATGTATATACATATATTATAGATATATGGCTAACTATGGAAATCAGCCCCATAGTAGATAACTATGGATATAACTATATGGATAACTAACCCCCATAGTAGACATAAGTCCTGGTAAGTAGGGTGACATCTGTATCCACTTATAGTTCACCTTCGGAATGGAACTTCCAGCGGATCTTCATCACCGGCCCCCAACCTTGACCCGTGATTCTTCGCCCGCCAGAAACTTGAGGCTCTTTGTCCTCGCATCCGCATCCCTCAGCGAAGAGCTACCGACCATGGGATCAGGTGCTTTGGTAGACCTTAAGCCTGGAGAAATAAAGGCTTAACAGTTGCTTTGGAAATGGAAACACATGAAAGTTGCTGCAGAGGATTTCTTTTAGTTTCTATTTTTAACTGGAAGCTTCCAAAGAACAACTCTTCTTGACACAGGGTTCATACCCATCGTGATTAAAAAATATGCTCTACTCATAAGCCCTGAGAGTTAGGGATTTGCCTAAGCGAACCAATATATTCAATCATATACAAGTATTGGTGTCTCATAGGCCCTGAGAGTTAAGGATTTGGTGTCAGTTGTCACTTGTCGCACAAGAAGAAAAGCATATAGGCAACCCCAAAAAAATGGAAACACTGCAATTTACCACTATTTTACAATCAGATTTTCCAAAATTCTATCTCAACTTGGGGGTTGCTATATCCATGTCTTGCTCTACATCTACCACTGCGCTGATCAACCCACCAATAATCTGATCAGCACAGTTGGGGGATATCGTTGACAACTGTTTGCATTCCTGATTCATTGGACACATTCACTGTATATCCACCATATAAGCATAGGTACATCTATGCTGTTGTAAACCAACAAACATAGGTACACTAATAATGTGGTAGATATACATATGAGATGGAACATGGGTCAGGAATTCACACTTATGGTTTTGCTCAAAACTGCCAACACCAAACCCCCGTCGTGTCCACTGGTGCTATGGTTAAATCTGCTTACACCGACACGATCTCCTATGATAGATCCTGTCAGCTATAAATATATATATATACAAATAGTCATGGGTATCATCAACCATATAAATCATATTTGGTCGTCATATATGGTTATCGTTTGCCGAAACACATATATATATATATTCATCAACATTAAGTCGACATTAACTGATCATTATGTCAGAAGTTGAACCATTGAGTATAGTCATGGACATCAACTAGTCATTTACTAGTCATTAAGTTATACAGTCGTTATATATATACACAGTTCTATAGTTTATAGCAATATATACAGTTTTTATATACAGTCATTAGTCATTTACTAGTCGTTATACCACATTCTTCGTTGTAGTTCTTGGCATCCAAGGCATCCAAGGCATCCAAGGCGCATGGCAATGGCCTTGAGGCTGAAGGTGCTGGCGGCCAGCGCTTGGACCGTCATGCGGTTGTCCAACTCCCGGTAGTCCTGGCGGGCGAGCGGCGAGCGGCGGGCGGGGCCATCTTGGGCTTCCAGGATCTTCCAGGATTGGCCAAGTCATGTTTGATAATTAGATTGGATGTATATATATATAATATATATATATCAAGAGAGAGAGAAATAGATGTACAACAAGTGTTTAGATTCTATGATATATATATATATATGTAGATCAATAGATAGATAGATAGATAGATAGATCGATGGATGGATGGATGGATGGATGGATGGATCGATGGATGGATGGATGGATGTATAGATAGATATGCATTATATGAGTTTATGTATCTTATATACATATATATATATACTGGGATACTACACAATCATGTATTCTGGAATTCTGAGATGCACAAATCACGAACAGAAAATGAAAGTATCCTAAATACAACATCTGGTACCTTCTGCTTTACACCATATGGGGTTGCCTAAAAATCATGTACCACCCAATTTCACTGCTGAATCATCATATCCACATTATCCGAGATTATCTCCATTAACTATTAACCCAATATCTATCATCTATTAATCAACCTTGGTTATCTTTTCAACCCAATATGTAAATCAACCATTCCTATGATTCAAATTACATCTTGGGGTACACCTCATTTTCAGACACTACAAGCTCCGGTGGCAGTTCCTCGCAAATTCGGTGCACCGACTTCTTCAAAACCTGGGTTTTTGACAAATGACGCCACCCTGGCGTACAGGATGGGGCCCCCCAGTGATGTGAATGTTGGTTTATAAACCCCATGAATACTATAGTTATCTATTAGTTATCTATAGTTACATCTACCATAAACCATGGAATTCAGCCACTTTTCTAAGGCAACTGAACGCTATCTCCCCATCCAGTATACCATCTGGTTTCATCAAACGTGGCTGGCTGGACGATCCCCTGATAAATGGTAGATTTTCCAGCTGGTTCTCAACCTCCCCTGTTGCTGGTCATTGGGGATCATCATCCGTTAGAAAAAAAAACTCAAAGCACCAATCAGTCAAAAATATCTAGCTGTTTCTTGATTGGTGAAGCCCAATGGTGGTGAAATGTTGGCAGCATGGCACGCTGATCGACTGAGATCTTTTCGGGCGGGGACTAACCTCACAAAATACCATGGGAATCATGGTACGATGATGCTTTCAACCCTGGGTAAAAATCTGTTGTTGGGGCGAGACCTCAGAGTCAAACCAGAAGAAAAGATAGCCAAAGGGGGAACAATTTTGTTTCCCTGCAATGATTTTCAGGAAAACACACATTTTTAATGTGTGTATGTTAAAACTATTGAGAATTCACAAAACTCCGCAGCATTCCTAAAACTTATGGCTATAGATCAAAGTTGGTACCAATATAGTATAAACATGTATAAACGCATTCCTGATACAGTACGATGTTCATCCGTGAAAGACACGACCTGCCTGAAGTCTTCGCTGTGACCAGTGGACCAGTGGACCAGGCCACCGATGTCATGTCCCAACGAAAACCTAGCCCTAAACAGGAATCCTTCAATGTTTGGTGATAAAGACTGATTAAGACAGTATATTTGTAATGATTATAAAAGAGTCTTTACATTTATAAATATATATATATATATTGTACATCTATATGATTCAATGTCTGGTGAATCACATATAATATAGATGTACAATAAGTTCTGCTTGAGGACATTTCTGCTCGAGACTCGAGATATGTAGTGATGTTTGATGATTTTTGTTCGTTTCAGGAATGTGTGCTCGAGGCATTGTACACAATTCACAGGGTTCCAAACAACTACCTTTTCAATGTGCACTGGTTTGCGCAAATTTTCGCGTTGTGCATCCTTGTTCTGCTCAGATCAGAGGAAATCAAATAGGACATCACAGGGCATTGTCAAACTATGATAAGTCAAGACAGTACAGTCAAGATTTGTTTTTTTTCCAGTTTCTGCTCGTTGTTGACGTTTGCTCGGTTAAGGGAGAAGATATGAACAGCCCCATGAAAAGATCCAAAATGTCACAGGTTACAACTACAATCAGTTAAATATATCCATATGCTCAATGTATGGGTATATTTACCTACATTTGTTTTTTTTGGGGGGGGCAAATGTTGGACCATATTCCATATACATACATGGAGCATATGGGTATGGGATTGTCTCAAACTGTGAGATAGCATGTTCAAAAGGATAGCCATGTCATTGCGAAACAACGATTTTCTCCCAGAAAAAAATGAAGGTTTCCATAAATGGGGGTACCCCTAAATCATCCATTTTAATAGGATCTTCCCCTTTAAACCAACCATTTTGGGGTACCCCCAATTTAGGAGCCCCCCATTTTAGCGTTGTGGGGTTCCACCAACACGCAGTCATGATGCTCGTTCCAGTCGATTGCACTGACTGGCCAGCCTGGTGAATCTCACCTGGAGCATCGCCGTAGAGTGTCTGAACATGGGGTCGGTCTACCACCCCGCAATAAATCAATAAGGGGTTTCCATAAATAGGAGTATCCCCAAATGGATGGTTTATAATGGAAAAACCTGTTAAATATGGATGATCAATGGGGTACCTTGGAGGTACCACCATTCATGTTATGGAAGCCCCCAAGCCCTGGACGTTGAATGGGATGATGATTATATAACCAGCCACCCACGACATTTAACCAGCGGATTTAGATGATGATGTTCATTATTATGATGATATCAGTTCTGTACCGATGATGATGATGATGTTTAACCAATGAATTTAGGGGGTAGCCGATTTTTCAGACAAGGCCAATGCAATGTTTTGTGTCTTTACCATCAGCTACAGGATTTCCTGCGGGCTGAAGTCATGTCTGGGCCCCCAAGAACTGAATTCAATGGGAACATCTCAAGATCATGGCACAAAAAAGGTGAAAACAATGGGGTGAAACCATGGATTTTAGCTCCAGAAAAAGCATCATGGCTGATCCGCGTCGTCTTCATGACGGTTGATTCAGTTCACTCGCGGAAATTGTCTATATAAATCTATATATATATATATACATATATATATATATAATGTATAGGTGGATAGATATAATGTGTAGGTAATTAAACGAAACTTTGGAAAACATACAGTCTTATTTGGACGATAAACCCGTGTTTTTTTCATTCTGCAGATATCCCCTTCAAATAACCCCCAAGTGAGTCACACAACTTATGAGAATGCCGTTTCAAACGTGATCCATGGCTGTTACAACTACAAATATGACCATTTATCCCATTCATAAGCTGGATGATATCTCTGGTGGTAAATGTTAACACAATTCCAAGGAGTATGGGTCCTCAATAGTTAAAATATTCAGCTACTACTAGACTACCAAACAATCAATTAATATCCCATGAACTATAATCAATAAATACCCCTGAAAAAGATTGAAAAAGTGTATAGCCCTAAAAAACATAAGTACAGCCCTACATAGCCCTAAAAAGAATCTAATGTTCAATGTAAAATCACCGTAGTTTGATGACTAAACATGCTTAAACTCAAGCAGTGCTGGGTGAATCCCGTTAAAGTCAATAATCAATCAACCCAGGTTTTTTGTGTCCCATCAATCATGTAGTATATATATATTATATATTCCCAAAACAAATCCGCATTCTCTCCATCATATTCCCATTAAACTCCCATTAAACTGCTCATCAATCCCAGTATATATATATATATACATCATTATACATCTACGTATACATTAATGGTTAATTTGTTACGTATATACATTACAAAAACTAACCATTAAGCCTGCCATAATCCTATCCCCAATACCTCGCGACTACTCCACCACTTCTAAAAATCGATCGCCTCATCGACGTACTGCAGCGCCTCTTGCACTTCTTGTCCTTGGGAAGTGATTAATAGTGGTTCATAATGGTTATTAGGGATTAATACCTGATCAAATGAATAATATATCTGGTTGGTGGTGCAATAACCATCTTGGAACTTGTTGAACCACGTCTTTAACCAATCACTTCTTGTCAACGAGACATGCCATCTGTTTTCTGTGGGAACAAAAACATATCAAATCCTCATTTCACCCATTGTTCAAATGATGATCCTTCTCCTGGTAAGATGCCCATATTTCATCATAGTTCCGATGATTTTCCATGAGGTGCTCATGTTTCCAACTATTTTCCATATGTTCACCTTCCAAAATTTCCATATTTCTAACTATGTCCATCATCTTTTCCAATGATTTTCCTTATCCCTGCCACATTTCGCAGCTTCGTTGCTGAAGGTGGCAAACTTCGGTTCGATGACCAGCAAGCCCTTGGCCTGAAGAAAGCCAGGTAAAACCTCTGAAAACCAATGGCATTGCCTGCTTTTTTTAAATGAGTTCTTGAAAATCTTCAATTCATCATTTTTCGATCAGTTTTCCATGTTTCTTGCCTGATTTTTCCAGGTGTTCTCAGGTTTTCCTGTGCCAAAAAGGCCATTTTTGGCCACTTCCCACGTGGAAGGCCACTTCCCACGTGGAAGGCCACTTCCCCGCGCCTTCTCCTCCACTTGTTCCACCTTCAGGGAGGCGTGATCCGCAGCGCGGGTGGCCCTGCGAGATGGACATGCAGGTGATGACATGTATATAGATGATATGTTGTAATATCAAAATAGGTTAAATATATAAAAATAGTGATTAATAGTTGTTATTAATAGTGATTAATATACCATAATAGTGATGAATAGTGGTTCATAATGGTTATTAGTGATTAATACCTGATCAAATGAATACTATATCTGGTTGGTGGTGCAATAACCATCTTGAAAAATATGAAAGTCAATGGGAAGGATTATCCCATGTATTATGGAAAATAAAAAACGGTCCAAACCACCAACCAGATATGGTACCCTCTGGTAAACTAACATAGCTATGGAAAATCATCATTTTTAATGGGAAAACTCACTATAAATTGCCATTTTCACTAGCTATGTTAGTTTACCAAATGGTATATGATATGTTGTAATATTAAAATCGGTTAAACATATTAAAATAGGTTAAAGCAGGTAAAATATGTGGTAAAAATAACATATAATATTATGGTATATTGTAATATTAGAATAGATTAAACTATGGGATTAGATGTAGGATAATAAGTGGTAACATGTAGGTTAATATATAGTAATAGGTGGTGTAATATGCATCAATAGTGTATAATATTAGAGTATAATAGGTGATATACTGGGATTCAATGGGATTTAATGGGATATATATAATTACTATATAATGTAATGGGATTAAAGTTGTATTATATTGCATTACAATGCATTTAACACATAATATATACCATTATCTGATAACATGTATTTGTAACATGTATGTACTGTAACTATATAATATGTATGATGGGATTTGAACGGATTTAATGGGACATGGAGCAGCGTCAAAAAGTTGGTTTAGGAACTGGTGTGTTTATAACTATTCCAATAGTGGGTTTTTTATGATCCCCTTTCAATAGGTTAGTAGAACCCCAAAAATAACAATCAATGGGTCTTTGACAATGCTCAGTGTATAATCCGTACACTGAGGTATATACACACAAATATGGATATGAATGTATGTCAAGCTATTTATGATTGAATAATATAACTAAATGTTTGCATTGGAATACCTAACCAATCATTAGCAGCGGTTCCGGACGCATTAGTAATAGGGAACTAGTACCGTATTGGAATCCTTATATTGCCCAAAAGTTGAGAGTGAGTGCATGATAATGTTTTTTGAAGGATGCTCATACCAGCATTTATAATTGTCATAGACCCATAATGACTCGACCTCCCATCTGCTTCCCCATTTCAAGTGGATTCCTCATGGGAGAACACCATTTCATCATCGACGTAAATCCAGGTGAATGGGATAAACATGGATAAACCATTTACCCTCTGGTAAACTAACATAGCTGTTGCAAATGGTGATATATAGTTGATTTACCCATTAATAATGGTGATTTTCCATAGCTATGTTAGTTTGCCAGAGGGTAGTTCATTGATTTTCACAGCTATAAACCTCCATCTCTTTGCTGTAAATCCTGCATTTTCACTATCCCTTATCCCAAATAATCCTCAAGCCCATCTGCTTCACATGGGGGGTTCCTAAAATAGGGGTACCCCATTTATCATCCATGTTCATAAGATTTTCCATGATAAACCATCCATTTGGGGTATCTCCATTTATGGAAACCACCATATATAGCCAATTGGTAATTGGCATAGGGATTCCCCATATTCCCCGTTCTTGGAGTATTATAATTCCCAATATATTGGGTAGTATAATCCTCTATAATCATCAGCCAACCAGGTTTTTGAAATATCTGCGCCTCTCAATCATCAAAGTATTTTGTTCTGAGCGCCTTGCCAACCTCGGTGCTGGGTGACATCGGGTGACTTTACGCGACGTTACGCGAGCTCGACAAACAGATGATCGATGTTTTGGTGGCAAAAACGTGTTTTTTTACACAAAGAAATGGAGAAACCAAGACATGAGGTAAAATAATCAGCAACCACAAAGATATATCATGTTTTGTTAAGGTTATGACCAAGAGAGGCCTTGGTTTTGAAGACACTTGGATATATACATAATATATAAATATAAATATATATATTATATATATATATTATATATATATATATTATATATATATTATATTATATTGTATATATTATATATATATTTCTATGTGGTTTGCCGAAACGCAGCTACCTGTGACCCATCACTCAGAAATGACTAGGAGAACAGAGTTCTGGATGAGCCAACATGGCAAGATCAGCTTCCTTCCTACGCGCTGGTTTCAAGCATGCTTGGATATGTTTGTGAGCTCCCCATTGAGGATCGGCATTTCAATAGGCCATCAACACATGGCGAAAAAACCATTCAGGGCGATAGTTCAGTGATGGACCCAAATTGCTCACCGAGCCGGGTCCGCATGATACAAACAAAACATGCATCTATACATCTAATATACACGCGTCCAAATCACTGTGTTTTCCTATTTCATTGCATATGTATGTGTGGACACGTGGCTATGGGTCACAGCCTGTATTAGTAGAGACCCATTGATGTATCAGCGACATCAACCGTCATGAAAATAAGATAACAAAAAACAAACATACGAACGCAATAACGGTCAGAATAGGTTTCAATGATATGTATATATATATATACATAAGTGGATGGCGGCTTCAACCCATCAAGAAAGAACATGTAGAATCAACCAGATTATCTGGATCATCATCAAAAAATACAACAATGTTGAACATAAAACATGTTCAAAACTATCAGATCATCATTGATCATCATTCGTGACATACCCCTTGTATACGTATTGTATGCCCAGTTTAGATCATTTCGGATGGTCACCCTGGGGTAGAACTAAAATGATGTGGAACATCCACCATTTGTTCATGTTCCGGATGGAAAACCATGGCTATTTCTACATGTATGTACACGTTTACCCCAGGGTATATATATATATATATTATAGTATGTTGCCAAATGTATACAATACATCCCATTAATGTTGTAAGGGAATGGTTACCATGGGACATATACAATACATATATTATAGTTACTTCCATGATAAATGATATATCATAATTACATGAACAATCATGAACATATACCCCCCATTAAATCACAAAGTAAATATTCCATACACCCTAATCACATATATATATAGTTCAATGCAAATTGGTATTCCAATGCGAACATATAATGATAGTCCATCATATATGGAGGTTTCCTAAGTCATAGGGGTACCCCCAAATCATCAATTTTATAGATTTCCATGAAATAAACCAAGCATTTTGGGGATTCCTCCATTTATGGAAACCCCCATATATAGCCAATTTGTAATTGGCATAGGGATTACCCATATTCCCCGTTTTTGGGTTATTATAATTACCAATATATTGGCTAGTGTAATCCTCTATAATCATCAACCAACCAAGCTTTACAATTGGATTTATATTGGATTATACATTGTTCTATAAATTCAATTAAAAAAAACCCTTGGTTACCTTGGTTGATGATTCCCATTACTATAATCATCAACCACCCAGGCTTTTGAAATATCTCACCTTGATTGAAACCACCGAACCACGAACGGCCTAGTGGCTCCACCAAAGTTCGACGGGTACTTTTTTCGTGGTTCTGGGTGCCGAACAAGGTGGTTTTGAAGGAAAAAACGCAGATCTGCATGATTGTTTATTTGTATATATACATATATATGTATATATATATATATATGTATATATATATATGTTATATATATGATATACTAGTATTGTTGTTGTCGTGGTTATGATTAATATATTTCCACTATGCAGATAATATATATATATAAATAAATAAATATATATATATATATATATTGTACAAACACATAATATATCTATATACATGGTTACACACTACACACAAAAAAAACTAAACATGTGTAGGCCGTCAAATAAATATAGATCACGCAGATACGTGCCAACTTTAGATCTTTAAACCACCAATAAACCTCAATAAAACTGAACTATACACTCAAACAAATTCATTTAGAGTACCGCATGGAAAGCTCATGAACAACTAAAATGGTACCCCAAAAAATTGTCAACTACCCAGGAGTTTGATAATGAAGGGTGATGTTACCCTCCAGCGAATTTATATAGATATAGAACAAAAAACAAGCTGAAAATTGATGGGACTTGTTTACCATGAGAACCGCAATATATACATATATATAAATAAACTATATATATATATATTATATATATATATATGTATATCGGATTTACATACTATTTCTAGGCATGAGCGTTGCAACGTGAAACCTATAACCGACCTTAAAAATGATGATGGATGTAAAACACACCTTTCACGTTTTAATTTATGGCCTCAAACCGGGTCTTGGATGTGTTGTACGATATACTTATTGCAGAAGGTTGATTTGTCCATTAGGAAACGGAGGATTTCAAGAAGAAAACCATGTGCCAGAAACGAGTTTGTTTTCTTTTCGCCAGCAATCTCCATCGTTTGCCAAAAAAAGCAAGCCCTTTTTGAACGAACGGATCAGGATCCTCGGCCGGTCATATGAGAGATCATCCCAAGTAGAGGTATATGTGCAGTATACCCAATAAAGCACCTCTATTGGGCATGGTTTATTCATGGGTTTACTACATCTGTTGGTTCTACATAAATGAAGACATTGCCACCGGTCTTTTTTGTCAGGGAATTTTGCAAATGCCATGAAATATCTGGTTTCCAGCATTGTAAATGGACATATGCCATCATATATCATCATATATTATCAAATACCTCTATACATATCATACAATACTATACATGTATATATATATATACTGTATATATTGTGTATACCATCTGGTTATTTCACATAGCCATAGAAAATCACCATGTTTAATGGGTAAACCATCTATTTCTATGGGCCATCTATACCATGGCTATGTTAAATAACCGGAGGGTATACATATATTACATACATATATATATATATATTACATAAATATATTATATATATATATATATTATATGGAAATTCCATCGTTTCCCGAAGAAATATGAAATCTATACTTCCGGGAAGTTCGGCAGCTGGTATTTTCCGCCGTCCTCCATCCGTTCCTGGAACTTCGCCAGCTCCCCCTGGGGAATCGTCCGACGATGGTCCGGAATCGCATGGCAAAAGTACTTGGTGGCTCACCCCAGTTCGCAAGTCGAGAATAGCCCCAGTGATAAGTGGGATAAGTAGGGTTAAATAGGCTTAATTCACCAAACAAACTAGGATCAAAAGCCACTAAGTGGGATGCGCCACCAAGTAGGGTCTATAACGACAGTATGGTTATTGCAAGAATATGGAGGTTTCCTAAAGTGCAGGTATCCCAATAGCTGGATGGTTTATTTCATGGAAATCCTGTATTAAACTGGATGACGTGGGGTACTTCCATTTTAGGACGAACCTCCAGATACCGTTAATGCTGCTAATAATTGAATCATAACTATTATTATATTGTGAACAATAGTAAGTATATATATATTATGTCAATATTTGATTATATCTATGTAACATATAATATGAATACTATCAACATTATTATCACTGTTTACTATTGAGAATCTTGTTGTTATAATTTGACAATTGATAATTGATACTCATGGTGATCCCGTTATCAAGTACAACAACAATAAATCATGTTGTCAGGCCAACAATACAATTGTTATCGATTACAATGCTCATATTGTAACAATATAAGACAAACAATGCTAGACATAACAATATTTATCCCTATACCGCTAACAATCAACTGATTAGAGGAATATATGGAACTATCATGAATTATCATCATGCTTTTTACAGCCAACATCAGACCAACAATAGGCCGTCATAAGTTATATATATATATTTAAACATATAACACATTAGTAGGAAAAAAACAAACAATAGAAGTAATTAGTGAACAATGGCAATTAAATCGATATTAAACCGATTCCCATAGCCAATCACAAGACGCAACGCACCTGCAGTGCTTGGTTCAAGCCGTTCACTGCTTCGGCCACCCAATCCCTGAGACCATCCTTGGGAGTCTGTGGGATCCACCGTCATCAACTGCTTGTGTTTTTGGTGTATCTGTATATCGTATAAATATGTATAAATTAACCAGAAACCAAACACAGTGGTTGTATAAATCAAAACTGTCATATGATTATATATATATATAGACGTACATATAATTTTGTATATCATGTATCATCCCAAGAAAATGATTATGTGGATACGACATAGATATAGCGTTTGCCAGGGAAAATACAACAAGCACCCAAATCGCATTGCTCCCACAGTGGCTTATCCCATGCCAATAGTGCCTAAAAAGGATTAACCTGGATTTGCTTGAGGAACCACCAAAAAATAAAAAAACACGCCCTTATCGATTCCCCAAGTAGTGGATTTCCCATAGATAAAATATGATAAAATAACAATACATCTTCAGCAAATCCAAGTTTTCTTGTGATTTTTAGCCAACCTCACTGTCCATTGAAGTATGGTCACCTTTTTTTTTGGCGATGAAAAACTGCCCGATTTTTGTGGTCCCAGTCGTGATGTCCATGGACTTTTTACCAATTGTCATACCATGGACTTGGGTGGATTTGAAGCTACATCCATCTATATCCATCTATATCCTCTGTTCGTGTCTTGAAGACTTGAAGAATCTCCAATCTAGACTCCCAGCCGATCATGAGCAACGAGGATAAAACTGGGGTGCGATGATCCTGTTGAATCCAGTTGTTCCATTATAACTGGTTGGTTTTCAAAGGGATTCCCAGACCGGATGATGACATTCCCCCAATGTACTAGAGTTTGTTTAGCCCCTACAAATAACAACTAATAGAAACTTTGATGACGCTGCTCATTTAGTGCGGAAACCAAAAATGGCACTGAGAGATAAATTCACGGAACTATGAGGCAGGGATCATCATGCCATTGTTTGGCTTTAAAGTTCAATATCTATCGGAAGCCAGCTACTTGGTGGCTCATCCCACTTAGTAAGTGGGTTATGATCCTAGTTATAGGTGGACTAAACCTACTTATCCCACTTATAGCTGGGGTTATAATCCACTTGCTAACTGGGGTGAGCCACCAAGTACTTTGATTGAGGGACAAACCGAATATTTTTTTCTCAAGGTGATGCCGCCATGATCCCTTCAAGATGTTGTCCTCATTGTTCTTCCATTGTTCCGGAACTGATCATATGGCCGGTAGCACATATGGGTGTTGATTATGATTTCACGTTGTCTTCTTTAGGTGAATGGCCCAATCATGAGAAAACAGAACTACAATGGCATCTTCAGGAAACAAATCTGTGAACCCTAGGCCCCGATTTCCACATTTCCACATCCGGAAGTATCTTTTGCCGATTTCCACATGGGAGTTGTGGTCAATGCGGCCCTGCAATGCGGCACTATGCTGGTGATCTTGAATGATTACGCATTGACCAACTTAATGGACATAATCGCACACAACAAAAAATCAGTATGTATATCTATATTGATATGTACTTAGACATACATACATACATCCATCCATCCATCCATCCATGCATGCATGCATGCATACATACATAAATTAATTACATACACACATACAATACATACATTACATTACATTGCATTGCATTACATTACATTACATTACATTACATTACATTACATTACATACATGCATATATATACATATGTATATGTATATATATATATATTTACATATCTATGTATACGTGATTCAGAATCAGGACGGATTGGCATGTTTATTGTTTTGTCTCAACATGGGGGATCTCCCCAAAACAAACCATGCTATTGAGAAACGTGAGGCTTGGAAGCAAAGGATTTTGGGGTTTTCAATGGGTCTGAAAGTCTGAAACTTTGACGTATATATATATATACATACAGTATGCAATGTGAGGCCCCCCAGTTATAAGTTGGTTTATAAGCCCCAGTAACTATAGTTATAAGTACCATAAACCATAGTTATTGGAGTTATAAACCAGCTTAGCTATCTTGGGGGCCTCACATTGTAGTATTGATTCCTAAATCCACAGATTGATCATGCTTCAATTGAAACTGTCACGTGGGGTCTACCTGATTTGACATTTCCAAGCGGCGTCAGAGCCCGAGCGGACCTGAGCGAACCGAACGCACAACGCAGGGCTCGGCCCAAAACTTTTTCCTACGGAACCACCGATTAATTCTGGAAAAAATCTGGAATTTTCCATCTGAATTTTAAGAATTCCACTGTTTTTGGGAATAATTCCGGAATTTTACATCTGGACTCTTTTCATGCTGGGACTGAACCAAGGATTTTATGGGAATCGGACGAAAGGCAGACTATAATGGAAGATATAAAACAAGATTATGATTTGGGTGTCTGACAATCGGGAATTTCAAATTTGTTGCAGGCTTAGGAGGGACAATGAAATCATCAACCTCATTTTGTTGGGTTGGTGGGTACCCTATGTTTAAATAGACTCATTTTGACGTTGATGTTTGGATGTGTTTTCCTCCTCCAACATGTAGTGAAATATGTTCTCAATTAAATTACTTTTGGCAAGTATCTGTTAACGTACATTTGAACTACAGTGTTGTGTTACAAATAACATCTGATACATGCATATTAAACTACTCCCACCATGGACCAGCTGAGGGGCGAGAAAAAAATACTTTACTTCGAGATATCCCCACCATGACATTGATACGTTTTGTTACTGGCAAATCTTCTGGCATTCTATCTGACATATCTTCTGGCATCCTACCTGGCATATCTTCTGGCATATGTTCTGGCATATCTTCTGGCATTCTACCTGGCATATGTTCTGGCATATCTTCTGGCACTCTATCTGGCATATCTTCTGGCATATCTTCTGACATTCTATCTGGCATTCTATCTGGCAAATCTTCTGGCATTCGATCTCGCAAACATTCTGGCACTTTATCTGGCATACCTTCTGGCATTCTATCTGGCATATCTTGTGGCATTCTATCTGGCATATCTTCTGGCATTTTATCTGGCATATCTTCTGGCATTCTATCTGACATTCTATCTGACATATCTTCTGGCATCCTACCTGGCATATCTTCTGGCATATGTTCTGGAATATCTTCTGGCATTCTACCTGGCATATGTTCTGGCATATCTTCTGGCACTCTATCTGGCATTCTATCTGGCATATCTTCTGGCATATCATCTGGCAAATCTTCTGGCATTCTATCTGGCAAACATTCTGGCACTTTATCTGGCATATCTTCTGGCATTCTATCTGACATTTTATTGGCATTCTATCTGGCATACCTTCTGGCATTCTATCTGGCATATCTTCTGGCATTCTATCTGGCATTCTATCTGGCATATCTTATCTGGCATTCTATCTGGCATATCTTCTGGCATTCTATCTGGTGGCATTCGTTGAGGTCCAGCGGTGCGCACTGAGCTCGGAAGGCCCCAGGTTGAGGTCCAGCGGTGCGCACTGAGCTCGGCAGGTCCCAGGTTGAGGTCCAGCGGTGCGCACTGAGCTAGGAAGGTCCCAGGTTGAGGTCCAGCGGTGCGCACTGAGCTAGGAAGGTCCCAGGTTGAGGTCCAGCGGTGCGCACTGAGCTGGGAAGGTCCCAGGTTGAGGTCCAGCGGTGCGCACTGAGCTGGGAAGGTCCCAGGTTGAGGTCCAGCGGTGCGCACTGAGCTGGGAAGTTGGCGAAGAGCTTGGCGAAGAGTTGGCAAGGCGGAAGTGGAGGTGGAAGTTGATGCAGACATGGTCGAGGAGAAACTGGAGGAGGAGGAGGAGGCGGAGGAGGAGGAGAAACTGGAGGAGGAGGCGGAGGAGGCGGAGGAGGAGGAGGAGGACAACAGCTCTGATAAAATCTAACAACCCTCACCTGGCAGGTGGGGAAAAAACGGTTTGGGCGAACACCGATTCAAAGAAATCCCTTTTATGTCAAACATATTACTCTGTAACAACTTATGTGGCAAGTGTACAGTAGCTGGTTTATACAGTAGCGAGGTTATACCCTCTGGCACTTAAGCAAAGCTCAACGAACATGTGCCAATTTGTGGATGATTAATCCGTATTGAACATGATGATTCCCATCTGTTAAACGACATTCAATTGCCGTGATAAGTTGGTTGTGGATATGTGGGATCTTAGTGAAAGGGATTCTCCCCCAAGTGAAGGTGAAAAATCAAGTGACTGAAACAGCCTATCAGGAAGCTGTTGAAAGGGAAGGACATTTGTCAAATATGTGTTTGTGTTTGCTTCCACTGTATTTCCGCAACCAGAGGATCGTGATGCCCACGTTCAAATTGCACTCGTCATGACCTTACAATAAACTTTTCTAGACGTCGAAACCCTTACAGGATATAGGAAACAGGTCTTGACACCAAAAAAAGGTTCATTGACAAAGAATTTTCCCACAACAAAATTCCGATGTGTTTTTGGATTTTGGAACCTCCATTCTCCTGAGAAGAATACTTTCACAATCCCAAAAAATATTACGGCTAGGTCGCCCAAAGGCTGCAACATACGTTGCCCAGAATGATCATTGTCGTGCAGAGATTACAAAACACATATGTATATATACATACACATAGTCATCCTGCAGTGGATAGAATATGGAAATGTCAAACACCTTCACTAAAATGAGATGTTATACCATAGGCTATATACTTCAGGATGAGTACACATAAGTATAGTTGATTACTCTGATATAATCTTATTACTATATATATATATATTCATTTATGTATGGTGATGGATATATGATATAGATGTATGATATTAGTAAATTCTATCGGAATATGCAAACACATCATCAGTGACTAGTGATATTTCATCATACATCCAGCATCCAGTTCTCTCCGTCTTGGCGTCCCACTGGCATTGCAGGTGCTTTCAGCGCGCTCGTGACACTGGCCCTTCGAGGTACTGGTGCCTGGCGCTGCCAGTGACGCAAAAGGGGCGGGCTTCCAACACACACCGCGGATTCCAGAAATGTAGCCAGCAAATATGTATTCATATGTACAATTCTGATGTACTGTATATATATATAATATACCGTTAGCTTCCAAACCCTACAAATTTGTCGGGTGCAAACTAAAACCCTGGGTTTAGCCGTGATCATGGTAAAAACCTTGGGTTTGTCACAAAAAAACAGGGTTTTCTTACAAACTGTCCGAATTCGATTTAGTGCTTGCTTCCAACACTTCTCCTACTTTGCTTCATCACATGTTTCTTAGATTTTCCTCCATTCAGCCTTACCGTCAGGAAGCCACATCTACATATATACATCTGAAGTAGAGAAAAACGCAACCCCAACATGGAAAAGTACGGGTCGGGAATTCAAGCCTCTAGCAAACCGTGTTCAACCCGTGATTTACCCGTGTCAACCCGTGTTTTCTTAAGGAATACCTAGGGTTTGTAGGCTAAACCTCGTGTATTTTGAAAATAACCAGGTTTTCTCTAACCCGTGTTCAACCCATGTTCAACCCGTGATTTACCCGTGTGCACCTATGATATAAAACATGGGTTGGAACCCCTGGAACTGGTGAAAATATAATATGTTTTTGTTGTGTTTGGGCTTGTGCTTGGGCGTCGATGACCAGTAGACTGGACAGAAATGCAACACTTTTTGAGGACCCACCGCATTAACAAAATCAGAGCATTTGGGGGCATGGTCTTGAAATTTATGGAAAAAGAAAAACCTTGGGTTTTGTTTTGAAACCCTGGGTTTTAAGTGCCACCCTGCGAATTTTGCGGGTTCGGAGGGTCAAGGTATATATATATATGAATGCGAATTAAGTAGATCAATCTGAAAAACAAACTAAACTATAATTAGTGACACTATTGTTCGGAAAAGGAATTTACTGTTCCATCTTATCGATATAATTGTTACTACGATACTACTTTCCTATCTTATCCATGCTTCGCACATGAAAATCAACACAACTCTTCCAGGCCTTTGCACTTGCCGTGCTACTCCGCCTGGTTCACCGGGAAGGGAAGCCAATTGGTGGTGGTACAAACAACGGCTCTAATGTTGATACACCAATAAACGAACCATATTTTGATGGTTGTAATCCCACCCATTTATGGTAAAACTGTGAATGGCTTTACTACATTACTTGAGTAAAACAAAATATATATCTATGGATTCGTATTTTGGGACCAAATATGAGCAACTTACCTGGGCTGCAATGGCTTTTCAACTAGTAAAGTAGTTGATAATGCTTGTACCTCTAGCGTCAGCAGGCTTGTTGACTTGTTGACTCTCGTGGACTGAGATGTACCCCTCGGGAACTGGGATGTAGTTGGACGTGCATCAGATAATATATACCATATATATCCATATATATATATATTATTATATATGTATCATGTTTACCCTCTGGTAACGGAAAACAATACATGTGGCAACGGAAAATCCACGCTATGGAAAGCTGGATGGAGCCATCATTGACATCGAATCAGGGGATCATCGAAGCATCAAGATCCAAACATGGGACCCACATGTCAGATATGAAAGCGTAGGGAAACAAAAGTAATTACATCTGAACACGAACGTGGTAAAACCAATAGTACACCATGCCCGAAAACACAATTTTTATGTTTTTGTTTTTTAGGGTGGCATAAACTATCCCCTGTCATAGTAGGTTTGTGGGATTGGGTTGCCCACATTCAGTAGCCTGGAAGATGGGCCAGATGGAACAAGGTCCTCATCCTCTGATCCTACCCGGATCATGTGAGCTCCGGACAGCTAAGCCGTAACTTTCCCAGAAAGCCCCCCCAACAAAAAACTGGTGAGTAGTGTTCAAGGGAGGGTGAAAAACCATCAAGGTGCATGGAGCATTCGATCTAACTGAGAATATGACGGAGTTTTTAGTTTCATCCAATCCAGTATGTCTATTCACTTACCATCATACCCTGCATTTTGCTGCAATTGACCCTTTACCATGTGTTCATAACTTTGGAATGCCTGGAGCACAACTGAATATAGAAAACAAACTACTTCGAACCTATTCCAACCAATTCAAGAACATCTACTAGTCACCCAGACCCAGACTCAAAAACATTGATCCAAACGCAAACATGTTGACATTCATTATTGGCTAACATCAATAAATGACAGGCAGACTAAGGGTGATGTCATCCCAAGCGTTCCAATATATCGATGACATCTCAGTTGAAACATGAGCTGAACAGGATTTTGAATCATGGACATGGAGGTTTCCGCCAAGTCATGGGGGCACCCATTGGAAAAATCATCCAAGTGGTTGGACCGTTAGACCATTTTAACCATTAAAACCATTTAAAACCTATGGTTTTTTGGGATACCCATTTTCAGAAATCCCCAAATGCTTTCCGAGGAACTTTTTGTGGAACTATGAGCTCGCTGTCAGTTGATTGAGTTGCAACTACCAAATCATGGCGAAGCCACCATCCTTCGACATACCTTCTGCTATTCAAACGTGGTTGGCAAAATCCCCCTATAAACGCATGTTAACGTGGAGAAAAACCTAGTTTCGCTACCTAGTTGGTGGTTTCAATCCCTCTAAAAAAACATGAGTTCGTCAGTTGGGATGATACTGCCCAATATATGGACGGTCATAAAATTCCATGGTTCCAAACCACCAACCAGCTAGTTTCGCTACTGTTTCGGGGATATTTCCCCCACAACTTCTCACTTTTCCAACAGAAAGACCGACTCCTGGGCGTCCGCTTCCGAAATTCTCAGTCGTTGACGCCGCGTTTTTAAACCAGTGCATGGCGCCACGTCCACACCGTGGTCGTTGGTCTGATCTGATACACTGCAGGTCACGGTCACAGAGAATCTGAGAAAATGCAGTAGTGTGGTTAAAACAATGCCATGAACCAGCCATGACTGGGAATGGTAACCATAGATAAGCATGGCACCTATAAAAATGGTGATTTTCCTTGGGGATGGTGCGTTTATGGCATTTTAACCACATTCTCCATGACGACTGGACATGGCCATCCCACGGCAGTTTCTCATTGCATGGTTTTTTTGACTAGTAGGGACTATAAGAAAATGTGTCTTCTCAAATTTCGAGAGTTTGGAATTCAAAGTCACCAGGCTGCAAGATGAGGAGAAAAAACGAGGATCCCGACGTTGCAAGGCAAGGCTTGGCACAGCACCAACGCCCAGCTCTGAGAGTTCTGCCTCCAGGCGCACCGCAGGAGCCCTTACGGCCCAGCTTGGGCCCGCTCAGAATCGCTATTTATCAGGTTAACAGCCAGTCAATCATGTGTCTTCAGAGCATGGCCAGCTCATGGGTAATTCCGAACTGGACATCAGAGTCATAATCAGCAAAAATGCCACCCACGCAACCTAGTGCTCATGTCACCCCACCTGCTGAACATCCTAGGCTGGATAGATATGAACAGATCAAAAACAATATTACTTTTACATACTGTACATTTACTGTAGATGCTGGGAGGTTCATCTATCCGATTCATTCTGTAGTTCTTTGGTCGTCATTTCGCAGTCTGGTTTTAGCACCTTTTAGCATCCAGTTGGGGCCAGTGAAATGTTGTTGCTTTATAACCACCATGAATGCTAGTTCGTTCTATCTACCCTTCGGTAATCAAACATGGCTGGCTGGAAAATCCCCATCTATGGAGGTTTAGTTCGCTGGGAAAATCCTTCCATCCATGGGACTGATTCTTGATTTCATATCCCATTAAATCCAATTCATATCTATGGACCAATGGATATCAAATCAATCAACAATCTGACAATGGGATATCGGATATGTGGGCATCAACAAATAGTTTCATAGATAATCAAAAACCATCCCATTAATCCCATTAAAGGATGGATAATCCACTACAATATAAAATATTATGGAAATGATCGTGGACCAACTATCAGTTTATATTATTTTATGCCCTCTGGTAAACGTTTACATAACTATGGGACATCACCATTTTGTAGCTGGGTAAATCCACTATTTCGACTCGGCCATTTTCAAGTTCGCAAACCGTTAGTTTACCAGAGAGTACAATCTCTTTCACAGGTGACTCACTACTCCTTGCCATGGTCATCATACAAGATCCAATGTGCATCACAAAAAAGCTATATAATACTGTTCCAAATTGTTAGTTTACCAGAGAGTACGTAATATTCAGATCCCATTAAAACCGGTAACCCATAGAAATCCACTGTGCTCCAAATTTCGTCGTTCAACACCTCCAATGGATCTGGTACTGTGGAGAGCTGCAGGAACTCAAACCACTGACCTCAGAAGTCGTCCCAGGACCTCCAAAAAGGGGGAGATGTGATACGTCCAAAAAAACATCAACAAATCTGTGTACGTATATGATGCATATATACTGTATATATATATACATACATATATACATTTAATATACATATATATATATATATATGTACACATGTATGTATGTAAGTGTGGTACGTGGCTTCCTGTAACTGTTCTGTTAACTATCATTCAATCAAGATGCATTCAAAAGCGGTGTATCACTCAATAGTTTGGAAGAGACTCTCAACATGTAGTTGTATCGTGTTTTATCATGTATATATATATTATTATATATCATATATCCATAATATCTGCATTCAACATCACCTACAAAAATCAGAGGTTCAACAAATATAGCTTCAACAACTCTGTGGCAAATACACATGAGAACACGATCCTATCCCCTACCACATTCAGGACATCCAAATAAACCATTTCAGTGTGAAACAATGGTTCATGCGCCGTTTTTCAATATCAAAACAAGTTACCTAAGTTGATATGCCTGGTGAATCTCCCCTTTTGCTTCATACCCGTTCACTGTTGCGCCCAAAGTAGCAGCTCGTGGCCGCTCCTTTCGCAAGTTTACGATGCATATCTGAGACCCTGAACCGTGGAGAAAAAAACAAACAAAAATGATAGTTGAAGAGACAACATATATGGTCTTGATGTTTAATAGATATGCACTCTTCACTTTGAAAGCCTGTATACTCCACCATTGTTTGGGGTCCACCACCGAAAACTTTTTTTCGTTTGACAAGAATGAGGTCTAGGCCCCGATAGCTACAGATATGGACTCCGAGATCTCTCGCTCTAGAATGATGTGACCGACAAACCGTGGGTTTCAAGATGTTTCAAGAACCAGCCGACAATTGCTACCTTGCTACCGCAGACAAGGAATAATCAACAACCTGAGATCCACAATTCACAATTGAATTGCGTCCCATTGTTCCTACAGTTTTCTTCGCAGGGATGGTTGAATCGAATCCCAATATTTCTGAGTCAAATGCCATTTGTTTGTCTTTAGTTTCCTGCTTTAAATCCAGTTACAGTTCGCCCATGGTTAAATTTCACTGTTTCATGTTTAAACCCCTATTTTTGATTGCTCAATCCTACATTTGTCATGCTAAATTCGATTGTCTTCATTGTGAAATCCCAACCTCTAACCCTAACCTCCCCACTTTTGATGGTGCAACCCCAACCTATAAGACTTAAATAGTGGTTCATGTTTAAATCACCATTAAAAAGAAAAACACCATGTTTGCATCATTACCTTCAGAAAATATCACATTCTCACCAATTAACTTAATTAACCCCCAACAAAAGTACGACCAACTCGAAAATCAAAAAATGGTTTTGTTATTCAAAACGCAATGTTTTAGTTATTGAAAACACATTGTTTTAGTCTAGTTATTCAACGGTTATTGCAAATCATAAACTCCATGGTTTTTGTTCGGTCTTCACCATACGTCCACGCAACGTGCCGAGCGACCCAAGTGAAGAGCATCCACGTCTCCCCCGCGTCGTGGAGCGCTAAGTCGCTGATGGAGGCCTGATCTTCGCGGAAAAAATGGAGAGGGGTTCACGATAATATATAATTAATTATATAATATAACAGGTAATAAGCATGATGATTGATAGGTAATATATATATATTATATATAGTTAATGTAAGGATCAATAGGTAATAGTTACTTTATTTACTCACCATCAGCAACAATTAATGGTTATATAATGGTTAATGGTTATACATAGTTCATAAAGATTTAATAGTTATTTGAAGATTGCCGGTTAATAGTTCAACATTACATAATCATGATTCATGATATTAAAAAACAATATTAATCATAATGTCATCATATTAATGGTTGTTAATGAACATGGTGAATATATATATATCGTTTATCTTTTCTTAATGGTTAATACTGATGCATAATTTATGTTTGATAGTGTTCATGGTTGATCATCCAATCCCCCCGTCCTCAGCCATTTAAACAAAAACAGAAACCATGGTGGATGTAGGTGCTCCAAAGACATATTTTGGACGCTAGAATTGGCTGGTTGGTGTTTTTTCGCCTACCCCTCTGAAAAATGATGGAGTGAAAGTTAGTTGGGATTATGACATTCTGAATATGGAAAAGTAACAAACACGTTCCAAACCACCAACCTGATTGGAAGCGTTTAACATGAGGGGGATGAGATTTCTACCCACACATGGCCAGCTTTACATTGTTTAAAAGCTTTTACCATCCTAAAAGAAATGGGATGCGATATATAAAACCATTCAAAACCCTGGTATCCCCTTCTAAACCCCAAAAGAGTTGATAAGTTCATGTTTAGTCCCGGAACGCTTGTAGCATTGGTTTTGACTCATCCCCAAAGGAGGCATAGCCAATGAAATATCCAACAACCACCCGAAAAGTGGGTAGAGTGACCCTACAAAAACTAGCAATTCAACCACGAATCACACCTTAATAAAATCAACATTAAAAAAAAATCTTCGGATGGACGATTGTCTGTTTCTGATGTTTCTGGGACCCCTATGAAACAAGCTCGACCCCGTGGCAGGGCCGCCGCGCAGGTCGCTCGCCCAGCTGTAAGGCTGAATCCTGGAGTCAGCTGTCATCCCATTGAGACGGGACCTGCTGATGACTGGGACATCAGGCACCAATCAATGACCTGGTCCACCACAACGGCACATTCATCTTTCACAAATGAAAGATGTTTGAAACCACCAACTAGAAAACTTCATAGTATTTAACCATATACTGTAATGTACTCTATGGGTTTTTCTGATTTTTGTGTTGACACTGGATGCAGGCGGAACTTTGCGTTGCGCTCTTGGCTCAATGCGCCAGAAAGGTTATTCTGCAAAGCTTTCAGAGCTGTCCCTGCAGTGGAGCAGACCATTACAGTTTGCGGTTGGCACAAGGCAGAAACTGAAGCACCTTGTTGGCAGCCCAAATTGAACCAGTTTTAACCTGATTCGATATCCTTCATCTCACCTGTGGAGCCTGCACCCCGTAGACGTCCGCCATCGGTTATGCAGGTTTGGAAAATGCTCGTCGGGTATCAGAAATCTATGTCTGAAAATGGGGTGCCCACAAATGATCAAAGTCTAATGGTCGATGTCATGGAATATGACGACCTGATCAACACAATATATAGGTCAAGTTGGATCGAGCATGACCGAACCATAAGTATCCAGTCCCTCAGCTATGGATCAGAACAGTAAATCATCAGAAGCGTGAGTTTGGGATCGCTAGACCGTCTCAACGGTCCCATGGTGTGACATCCAATGACGTCTTGAGTCAAGCATAGTTTGCCGAGGCCTGAGGGCCGATGCCGATGGTAGAGGACCAATTTAATTTCATTCATCTATAGGCTATAGGCTATAGGTCCTAAGTACTATAATAATCTATAATAGGTCCATAAGCAGTCTTTCTGATCTTAAACAATGCGTAGAGTGAAACCTCAGTCATCTGAAGTCTTTGATAGTCTTTCTACAACAATAAGTGA